TTATATACCTTGCTGGGATCATCTGACCCTAGCAGTCTTTCCTGCCCAAGTGCAGGGGGGCTGAACCTTATGATCTTATGAGGTTCCTTCCAGCCTGTAACATCTGTGAACCTATGAGAGCCCCCAAAATGTAAATGGGGTTTGTGACAACAGTCTTGCACGCTTTGCTGGATCGGCAGGAGAGTATGCATGGTTCAGTGGATGGCTGTACTGCTAGTTCTGAGGATCTATATTTCTAAATGTGTTTAAAAATATATTTCAATAATATAATATGAATAGCTAAACAATATGGGGCACAAGGAAAGGAACTACTGGGTTGATGTTATGACCAAAGCTGTAGAACTAATGTTTAAAATATTCTGCCAAAACTGATTTGAATTCAAGTGAATTTGCTTTGATTCTATGTTTTTTGTTTTTCATGGTCTAGTAATCAAGGAAAAATTGCCAAAACAGTAGAATTTAAGTAAATATGGAATTATTTTTTCATAGAAAATTAATTTTCAGTTCTGTAACTGTGAATAGTCTTACTATAAACTGATTATAAAGGTTACAGAAATGCAGCTATGACTCCAATTTAAATGGCTGTGATTTTGTCATATTTCCAATTACCTATTGCATACAATCTACTGAAGTCAAATTATTCAAGAAATACTTTCAAATCATAAAAAGATTTCAGGAAACCACCATTTGCTTGTGAGTAAACCATAGTTATAAGAGGTGTGCACTTAATGACAGTGAAATAAATTATACACCTAGCTCTAGGGGTGATGCCCAGAAAAAAATGTGACTAACTTTGTTAATTATTCTTTTTATTCATTTTAGGTGCATATGTCCTCTGGGTTACACTGGCACATTTTGTGAGGATGATATAGACCACTGCATTGGAAACCAGTGCTCAGAACATGGCTTCTGTCAGGACCACTTGCATAATTACACCTGTCAATGCATGCTTGGATATGAAGGATCCTTCTGTGAAGTGGAAATTAATGAATGTTCAAGTTCACCCTGCAAAAATGGGGCATCCTGTATAGATTTAATTGGCCACTTTTCATGTCAATGTGTGACAGGATTCAAAGGCAAGTACTCATATAGAAATATTCACCTTTCCTGTAAACATTTGGATGTTCAGTTCTATGCTAGTCAAGTTCATCATTATTTTAATCACATGTGCAATTAAAAGAATTCATTCATTAAAAAAGAATTATTTCTCAATTTGAAACAAGAGTTTTGACTGAATGCCAACAGAATTACTTAGGTTCTCTGTTTTCTAATTTATTCCTCTCTCTTTTCTACCTCAAGTGTAAGTATCTCTGGTGATGAATCAAAATGAGAAATGGCTAATGGGCAGCATCTAGGATAAATCTTCCTCCTGTAGGTGTGTGCAAAACTCCCTGAACATCATGAATGCATTTGCTTCAATGTGTCTAGGATTAGGGAATACAGAGCTCAGGTGTGCATAGAGATTCTGTACCTTTTGTATTGTGCAAAGTACTATGCTATGGCAGATACTTCTAGGATAATATGGAGAAGAGTTGAGCGCAGAAAAGTGAACCAATCATCTGGTGACAACACAGAGCCATTAGCCAAACCAATCATCACTACAGATACAGAACAATTCTTTTCTTCCCCTAGTTGATCAACCTTCCTGGTGTCATGCGATAACCCCTTCTTCCTTTAGCTTTACTCTAAAGGTCTTATAGCACAGTAATATTAGGTGGCTTCTGGAGCTCCTAACCCCTGGATTGGCTGCACATTATCACCTTTTAAGTGTTTTAAAGCACTTTTTATTCAGTTTAAAGTTATGCCACTCCAGAGCAAGATTATCTTTAATCCATGTAATTTTGGTCCTGTTTCATTAAGGTATGGCCGCTTCCCACAGCTATTCTGCCCAAGTTGAAGTCCAGCATACTAGAATGCAGTGGCAAGCATGGACACCAGAGTGCAGTGGGGCTGGACTTGGTGCCTTGCCCCCCAGGGATGTCAAACAAATGGCAGCCTCGGAGTGCCTGGTGACTGTGGTGCCTCCTCCTACCACCCAAACTGGCTTGCTGCTCCTGCCATCAGTTGCCTGTGGTAGGGAGGGAGGTAGTGAGTTCTGGAGAAAAAATCATCAGGCCCCTCCAGAGCTCACTACTTTCCCCCCCGCCATTCCTCATGCTGCCTCTGGCTGGGCTGTGAGTTGGCTGGCCCTAATCTTCAAGGGGCCTGATCTTATTTTTTCTCTGCAACCCACTCCCCCTGCACTGCCTCCAGCCAGGCGCTGACTGAGCTCTGAGGTTCAAGTAATAAGGTGGTCTGGGTGGTGGCAGAAGGCTACTAGGGGTGTGGGTTCTATTCAATTTGGATTTGGATTTGGCCCAAATCAGGGACAGTAATTCGATTTGTTGATTCAGATCACTGTTCCTGATTGGATTCGACCGAATCTGAATTTGAAGATTTGATGCTGATTCAGAGAATCAGTGATTCCGACAGAGACAGAGCTTTAAATGTTTTCTCTACATACTTCGAGGTACCAGCGCAGCTTGTGAATGCTGCAATGCTGGGGTGGATGAAGCGTCCCACAGAAGTGGGTGGCGGGGGGGAGGGCCTCCACATACTCAGTGGTGAACCTGGAAATGGACCAGAAGTACCTACAGTCCACTTCCAAGTTGGCTGGGGAGCATGCTGGGGAGCCTCCCGCACTTCTGTGGGACACTCCATGCACCCCAGCATTGCAGCATTCATGAGCCTCCTGCTACCTAGAGGTATGTAGAAAAAACATTTCAAGCTGTGTCTATGTCCAAATAGCTGAATCTTTCTGAATCTCTCCGAACTGATTTGGAGAATTCTGATTCAATTTGGAGAGATTAAAGGGTCCTCTGATTCGATTTGGATTTGGAGATTCAGGCACTGAATCAGGCCAAATCTCCGCTGAATCAAATCAGGGACTGAAGCTTCTCACAGCCCTAGAAACCACTACGTGCTCCAGGACTGCAGCACTGTCTTTGCCTGGCAGGAATAGTGAGCCAGTCTTGTCTCTGGTGTATTTATTGGCATTGTAGCCAAAGCTAATACGTAGAACAGACTAAAAAAGGAACACACAAAATGTGAAGAAGTTGTGGCTGTTAACATTGACTTGGTTTACACTAAGAAACATTTTACTTTTAGGCTCCTAGACTTTCCCCTGCTCACCAAGCCTCTAGTGTGGCAAGCTACAGCTCTGCAGGTGAGGGACAATCACAATCTCATCAGAGAATGTTTTTCATCTTAAGGTGTGCTCCTCCACTAAGCCAAGCCACACTAAGCTAATTAACATTGGTTTGTCTTACAGTATAAGGTGTAACAAGGCCCTTATCCATCTCAGTAGTAATGTGTACCATCCTTTCCTGTGCCACTGCTGATGTTTTAGTGTATTTAAAACTGCATTACATTTAAATTGGTGTGATGCTTTGCTACCAACAAATATCAGTAAAAAACATGAAAGGTAGTAGCACACACTATTTATAATACACACTGATTACAATACTTACATTATTAGATTATTAATTTATGACTTAGTCCCTTAAGATACAGAGCTTTCTAACTCTGAGTCAGCAAGATACAAGTAACTTTAAGCACATCAGTAACTTGAAGCACATGAGTAATTCCACTGAAGTCATCAGGCTTATTCATATGTTTAAGTGCTTTTCTGGGTCAGTGCCAAAGTGCTGATCCCCATTCAGTTAGGAATTGGGTACCTTTTGTGCTAAGCACTCTACATGCTTTTAATGCAAAGACTGTTTCTTACTCAGAAAGTTTTCACTGTTCATTCTGCAATAAGTAATTAGTAAGCCTAGGCACACACAAACTCAAAGATGAAATTCCCATACCTTAAAACAAACTTATCCTAACAGCAGGGGGAAATTTAGCTTTGCGGTATGTCCAAAAGATTAATAGATCTGACTTACATGGACCACAGAGAGAAGGAGAGAAGCAAATTCCAGAAAAGAGCAAATTCATAGACTGCTCTGCTGGCAGCTTTTTTACATTTATAACATGGGACCTCCAATCTGAGCATTCCCACTGAGTCCAATTGTTTCAGGATGGCACAGAAAAGAAGGTGATATTTCAGGTTGTATTTTAAGTTATTTTGGGACATAAAATATATGGTCTCAACTCAAATCCTATGAAGCCAATGAAATGACATCCACTGACTATTAAAGCATTTAGCTCAGGCCATAATACTAGCTCTCAGCAGAGATGTTTGGGATATTAGTAAGTGTATATTTATATGGATAGGAGATTTATTTTATTTGAATTGAGACTTTAGAATTATCATTCATAAACCATGCTTAGCAAGAAACATTCCTAATTTACTGGAAATGCAATATTTTATATAATTTCTAGAAATAGACTCCTGAATATAGCTGTAATATAGAAGGTAATATGATGCATTGTATTACTTAGAATGGATTTGTTATAAAAATAATGAAATCCATAATTTGGATTAATTTATTTGAAGCAAGAGAGAGGATTTTTGTATTTTTTAAAATTTTCTAAATGCTTTCCATACTTTTGGATCTGAAAACCTTGATTTGTTTCCTGTCTCTTTTTTAGCTTATCATTTGTTTTCTTTTCTTAAAGTTGCTATTTTGAAGTCAGAAGCAACTGTCTATGATGAACTATATTTGTATAGAATATAATACAGAAGGCATTTTACACTCATCATTGTTTGCTGTTACTGCAGGCTGTTACAGAATTGCCCATATCAATTTGTGCAGGCTTGGACCCAGGGCCTGATATGGGGCAGATTTAGCAGAATATAACACAGTAAGAAACAGAAGTAGAATTATGCCTGTGAAGCAGCCGTCCTGAAAAGCGTTAAGTTTATATCTAGCAAACCATAAAATTGCCCTTGGGTTGGCCTGAATTCCATTTGGACGGAGCACTTAAGTTATTGAGCATAAGCTGGGAGAGAAAATACATGGCCCAAATGTATAGAATAAAACTAACTTAATCTATTTTCATTACACTGTTGAAACTTAAACACTACTTGATTTGGTATACTTCACTGAAATGTCAGGGCTTACTTATATAAAGGATACAACATAAACGAGTGCCTTCTTATTTTACTGTCCCATACGGCATTGTGGGTAAGTGTTTCCATGAAACAAATTCAAAGTAAATATAAATTACACAGTATTATTGGTGCAATCTTATTATTAAAATGTATTAATATTGTGTACCACATGCATTTCAGGGTGGTAAAAAAGAAAGGGAGGGGGAAAGAAGAAAACAATGGCAGTTTCTAAGAATTTAATTAGTACCCTGGCAACAAAAAACAATTCCATTTTGGTATGTCTCCTGTGGTTTATGATCCTGGGACATAATCCAACAGAGAACAGGTTTTTAAAGTTCAAGCATAACTACAGTATATAAACCAAGAAAAAATATTCCAAATAGAGTAGCAGAAAGGACCAATTTTTTTATTCTCAGCTAATCCATATGAGTTTTCTGGGGGGAAAAATATCTCTTCCCTCCAACCCTTTTAGACATCCACTTGGGCATTTTCATAAGTACTAAACAGTCTTTAAAATAAATGCTTAAGGATAATATGATTTGATGAACGATGCTAAACTAATGGTTACCAAGGACAATATGAAAGTCTTGAGGGGCTCTCAAGCTTTGGATGGTTGTTAGCCCATTGAGAGTATACGATTTGGCAGATTTGTGCAAAAACTATTAAATCCCATCTATTACCTTGGATTTAGTCTTGCTAATAAATTAGTATCTGAATACTCTTTTAAAATGTTCAAGTGTACAACCCATATTTCAAAAGTATATATCTCTCTTGACAAAACAAATATCTATTTATCTAGTTAATCAATTTTATATAGCAACTATCCTTTGATTCTGTCATCCTTCTCCGGGCATCCTTCTGTATGCATCCCCCTTCAGCTCCAACCTATAGGAGATTAATGCTTTCACTTTGGCCTTCCTTCACAGTCTGGCCCCAACCTACTTCTTATCTCTCATTTAGTCAGCTCCTGATTCTTATCCACCTATGATACCAGCCTATCTTGTCCACTTCCTAAATTTTGAAATAAACTTCTTTGGATATGACAACATAGTACATTGCGGTGCCATGCAGAGATCCCCTGAACTAGCTTTGGACATGCTGTCTCTCATAATGGAGTCAGAAGGTAAGGCAGCATCCTGCAGAGATGCCTGAAGGAACTCTGTATATGCTACTGCTGGAAATAGAAGTCCAGTCACATTAGCATGGTAGTTTGGTTAAACTAATAAGCCTTTCTCAGCAGAATTAATTAGTCCAGATGTGAAGCTTGTGAAAACAGCTATATATTGCTTTCAGTTCAAAATATAATCTGTGCAGAATTATCTTGGAATATTTTTGTACAGGGCTGCTTTGTGTCAGAGGTACCATTTTCTGCTTTCTCTCATGCTGCCTCTTGTGCTTGGCAGGAGTTCCTATTAAATATCAGCAGATATCATTATCACCTTGAAATTCCCTCCTTATGACATCTGCAAGAAAATGTAGCAATGATTAGGTTGCTAATGTGCTAAGACTACTTTCTTTCACATTGACCAGTACTGTCTCCCTCTTTCCTGTACAAAGAACACAATCTAGTATCTGTCTGTTGATCCCTGTCTCAGATTTGGGTTATAAGCTTTATGGCTTGGGGCCATCTTTTTGTTCTGTGTGTGTATGATGCTTAGCACAGTTTAGCCTTGGTCTATGGCTAACTCTCCTAAGCACTTTAATAATAATGTACTGTATAACACCAATATATAAATGCCTTGTAGCTCATTAAGAGAGATTTTCGATATAGAATAATTGGCTTTGAGGTCCCTTCCAACCGTATCTGGTCCAATCCCCTGCCTCAATACAGGGATGCTATTCCCAAACTGTATTGTTTTGCATCTTAGCCTCTTCCTTTAAAATGGGTTCGGTTTTTTTGTTTAAATTTTTGTGATGTACTTTTTGTTTCTCTTTGCAGAGGCAAAGTTAAGATTCTGCACCTAACATTGAAATGAATAGTGCCGCAGTGCTGTAATATCCATGCTTCTGTGAAAGATCTGTTACTTTTTGTGAGATATCTAATACTTTTCAGATATTTGAATATTATTTAAATAATTTTATACCTTTGTAGTGGAAATGAAAAGTAAGTCCTTGAAACCTGTCATGGAAATGAAATTAGGGAAATAACACAGTCCTCTTGAGTCTCATTTAAAAATAGGAAAGAAACTTTCCTTTTTGATGCAAATAATCCTCGAAGCATGTAACATTTTATAGAACAGAGAATCTAGAAAAGCTGATAGTCATTCTAGAATACATTTGGAATCAGCTTTATGTATCCTAGAAAGTACTTTTTTGAAAGTATACTGCTGTAATAATTTTGCAGATCCATAATATTTCATAGTTTCATAGTTTGTAGGGTCAGAAGGGACCTGAGCAGATCATCAAGTCTGACCCCCTGCCATGGCAGGAAGAAGTACTGGGGTCAAATGACCCCAGCAAGGTGTTTGTCTGGCCTCCTCTTAAAGAGCCACAGGGTAGGAGCCAGCACCACTTCTCTTGGAAGTTGGTTCCAGATCCTAGCCGCCCTGACCGTGAAGTAGTGCCTCCTGATGTCTAGCCT